ATGGTTAATTTTATATGTCAACTTAACTGAGTCTAAAGGTGCTCAGATATTTGATTAAAAATTATGCCTCTGAGGGGATTTCTGGATAAGGTCAACATCTGAATCAGTAGAGTAAAACAGATTGCCTCTCCAATGTGGGTAGGTAAGGAAGAATTCACCCTGCCTGTGTTTGAGCTAGGACACTGGTCTTCTCCTGACTTCAGACTTAGACTAAAAGTTTTGCCATTAGCTCTCCTGGGCCTCCAGCCTGCAGATTGTTAGATTTCTCAGGTTCCATAATATGTGAGCCAATGACTTAAAACAAATCTATCTATCTATCTATCTATCTATCTATCTATCTATCTATCTATATATTTCCTATTAATTCTGTTTCTCTGGGAAACCCTGACTAATACAGATTTTGGTACTGAAAAGTAGGGTGCTACTATAATAAATACATAAAAATGTGGAAGTAGCACTGGAACTGGATAATGGGCTAGAGGCTGGAAGAGTTTTGAGGTGTGTGCTAGAAAAAGCTGAGATTGCCATAAAGGGAGCGTTAAAGGCAATTCTGGTGAGAGAGAGCTCAGAAAAAAAAGAGGAGAGCTGGAGAAAAAGCCCTCCATCTTCTTAGAGGACATAATAATCATGAATAGAATGTTGGCAGAAATATGGGCACTGAAGATCATTCTGATGAGGTCTCATAGAAATGAGGAACATGTTACTTACTAGGCATAGAGGAAAGGCAACACTTGTTATAATGCAGCAAAGAACTTGGCTGAATTGTGTTTGTGTTCTAATGTGTTGTGGAAAGTATAGTTTGTGAGTGATAAAATTGAATATCCAGTTCATGAAATTTCTTTTTTTTTTTTTTTTATCCTCACCCGAGGACATTTTTTGTTTAGGTAGAGCGGGAGGGAGAGAGAGGGAGAGAGAGAGAGAGAGAGAAACATCGATGTGAAAGGGACACATCGAGTGGCTGCCACCCGCATGACCAACCAGGGCCGGGGACAAACTGCAAGCGAGGTACATGCCCCCAGCGGGAACCGAACCCGGGTCTCTCGGGACCGCAGGCCGACACTCTAACCGCTGAGCCAAACCAGCCAGGGCCAGTTCATGAAATTTCTAAGCAAAGTGTTGAAGGAGCAGCCTAATTCCTTCTGATTCCTTATAGTGAAATACAAGAAGAGAGAAATGAACTGAAGAAGGAGTTGTGAAGCAAAACAGAACTTCAAAATTTGAAAACTTTTCAGCTTGTTTTTATGCACAAAAAAAAATGAGCGCATGTTCAGAAGAGAATACCAAGGGTGTCTGGCCAATCATTTGTAAGATTAATGTGGGTGTGAACCATGGAACCAATTGGCCATCCCAACAGAAGCCAGGATTGGGATTATACCAGCAGAAATATTGCCAGCTAAAACTAAAGTAAAGAAAATTATTCAAAATGAAGAAGTATGAACATGCACTATTCTTCAAAAAAAGAAAGAAGGACCCCAAAGGCACTTTCAGAAATCATCAGGGCTGCTACTCCCACCACAGGGCTGGAGTTTAAGGGCGAAGGGCCAAGCTGCCTCTACCTTGGTTTCAAAGGGCAGTCCCATTGCCCAGCAGAATGCCATGTACGTCATCTCTTGTAGAACACAACATGAGTAGCACTCCAAGGGAGCCAAAGATGCAGGGCTGCCCCGTGGGGATGATATCACCACCTGGTGATTCTTGAAAAAAAAAAAAAAAAAACCACTGCCCCTTTGGGTCCAAAAGGCAAAGTACCAAACCAAAGAGGATTATTCTTAAAATCTAATGAAATTTGCCTCATACAAATTTGTTCTTACTTGGGGCCTGTCACTTCTTTCTTTCTTATTTCTCCCTTTTGGAATGGTAATGTCTATTTTATGGCTGTCCTACCTTTGTATTTTGAAGTGCATAATTTACCTGGTTTCACAGGTTCTTAGATGGAAAAGAATTCTGCCCTAAGTCTCACCCATATCTGATTTATTTATTTTTCTTTTCATTTTTATCTTTATTGTTGAATGTATTACAGATGTTCCTCATTTTTCCATTTACCCTCTCCTCCCCACTCCTGCCCACCTCCTGCTTTTCCCCACACTGTTGTCTGTGTTCATTGGTTATGCATATATGCATATAAATTCTTTGTTTTATTTCTTCCCACCCCCAACCCCCTACTCTTTGAGGTTTGTCATTCTAGCAACCAATTTGTACTTAATCCCTTCACCTTTTTCACCCATTCCCCCAACACCCCTCCCATCTGGCAACCAACAAAATGTTCTCTGTATCTATGAGAATGTTTCTGTTCTGCCTGTTCATTTTGTTTGTACATTCCATTGTCGATAGATATGTATTCATTGCCATTTTGTTTGTTCATATATTTTATCTTTTTCTTCAAAAAGACCCTTCATCATTTCATATAATAATGGTTTTGTGGTGATGAACTCCTTTAGCTTTTTCTTCTGTTTTTTCCAGCCAGAAGTTATGGGAACTTCTCCTCCTGGCACTGGAACCCTGAGCGGGGCGCCTGGTGTGGGATGGGGACTCCTCAGTCCTCAGAGAGGACCTTCCCAGCCAAGGTGTCCTGCTGATTTTTATGCACCACACGTGGGTGTGGGACCAGCAGCCCATCTGCCTCCACCCCTCCTACCAGTCTCGATGTGGCTGCTTCTTTAATTCCATAGTTGTAGGACTTCCATTCAGCTTGATTTCAGGCGGTTTTGAATAATGGTTGTTCTGTAGTTCAGTTGTAACTTTGATGTGGTTGTGGGAGGACGTGATACCACGTTTACCTTCGCTGCCATCTTGACCGGAAGTTCTCATCCATATCTGATTTAGATAAGACTCTGGACTTTGAAATTTAGAATGATGCTAGAATGAGTTCAGACTTTTGGGGCTGTTGGGATGAAATTAATATAATTGGTATGTGAGAAGGACATATATTTTGGGAGGCAGGGGTACAATGTTATGGACTGAATGTTTATGTCCCCCCAATTCCATATATTGAAGCCCTAACCCACAATGTGATGGTATTTAGAGATGGGAGCCTCTGAAAGATAATTAAGGTTAAATGATGTCATGAAGGTAGGGCCCCCATAATACGGTTAGTGGTCACACAAAAAGAGGAAGAGACCAGAGAGCACCCTCTTGTAGCCATGTGTGGACACAGCAAGAAGGCAGCTCTGCAAACCAGGAAGAGGGCTCTCACCAGGAACCAAACCTGCCAGCACAATGATTTTGGACTTCCCAGCCTCCAGAACGGTGAGAAATAAATGCCTGATAAGCCACTTGATCTACAGTATTTTGTTGTAAGTGCCCAAGCTGACTAAGATAGGTTGTTTGTGTCTTTTGTTGTTGAGTTATAAGAGTTCTTTTTTTTTTTAATCCTCACCTGAGGACATTTTTCCATTTTTTGTTCAGATAGAGTGGGAGGGAGAGAGAGAGAGAGAGAAACATCGATGTGAAAGGGACACATTGAATGGCTGCCACCCGCACGACCAACGACCAACCAGGGCCAGGGACAAACTGCAACTGCGGTTTGTGCCCTTAGCGGGAACCTAACCCGGGTCTCTCTGGACCACAGGCCGACGCTCTAACCACTGAACCAAACCGGCCAGGGCAAGTTTGGTTACATTTAAATGACCATCTAGAATTTATCAGAACTCTTTCTTGTGGTCAATTTAATAAAACCACTTAAAGGAGGCAACAGAAATGTTATTATATACTTCCTGGATGTCTCATAATTTTTTTTCTTTCAATGGCAGCAGGTACTGGTACTCTTATAACAAGATGCCCACTATTCCATGAGAAAGAGGAAAAAAAAGGGTCATTGTATTTGAAAGAACTGGGTACATTACTCAGTATATCCTTTGTATTTAATTTAGGAAGTGAAATATTAACCAGTCGTAGGAACTGCAACATCTATTAAAATGAATGACAGAGGTACAAAGCTGAAGGCTGAAATGTTCTTCAGTTGATATTTTCCTAAAAGGTAAGGAAAGTTTGCTTTTTTATTTTTATTATTATTTTTTAAATCCTCACCTGAGGACATTTTTGCATTTATCGTCAGATAGAGCGGGAGGGAGGAAGAGAGAGAGAGAGAGAACATCTATGTGAGAGAGACACATCAACTGGTTGCCACCCACACAACCCCAACCAGGGCTGGGGACAAACTGCAACCAAGGTACATGCCCTTAGCGGACACGAACCTAGGACTCTCTGGTCCATGGGCTGACGCTCTAACTGCTAAGCCAAATTGGCCAGTGCAAAGTTTGCTTTTTTATTACCCAAGATAGTTCTGGAGACTTGGGTCAAAACTGGGCTAATACTGGCCTTTCTGCATTTTTTAAAAAAGCAATCTACCATTTTATTTATTTATTTAGGCATAATCCACATACAAAATTATATTAGTTTTAGGTGTACAACATAACATAATCTACAATTTTAAATCTGAGTCAGTAAATGAATTCTTAAAGCAATCCTATTTTAAGAGACCAAATAAGCATTTTGGAAAACCAGGATAAGGTAATATGAAAAGACTGAAGAAAAATTAGAGAAAAAACATTAATTATAGAAATGCCACAGGGTATGGCCATAGATGTGAAATAAATCAGGCAGAGACAAATACCATATGATTTCACTTATATGTGGAATCTAAAGAGCAAAATAAACAAAATAGAAAACAGATACAGAGAACAGATGGATAGTTGACAGAGGGGAGATGGGGCTGGAAGGCTGGGTAAAAAGGTGAAGAGATGAAGATGTACAAATTGGTAATTATAGAACAGTCACAGAGATGTAAATTACAGCATAGGGAATATAGTCAATATTATGATAACTATGTATGGGGCCAGGTGGGTACTTGAAATACCGGGGGATCACTCTGTAAAGTACATGATTATCTAACCACTATGCTGTATATCTGAAACTAACACAGAATAATATTAAACATAAACTGTAATAGAAAAACAATAATAACAAAAATAAATGCTATAAGATATAATGAACAAACATACCTCCTGGGCTGTGACCGACATTCCTCCTCCCCACTGTCTGCCTCCTGAATAGACAGGAAAACAAGAAAAATAATTTACAATTAAAGTCTCATATCACAATATCAACAATGCAATTTTTACTAAACTTTACATGTAGGAATACCTTATTCATGCTGTGCACTTCAACTAAATTCTCTATAAAAAGTGACTTTAACCCAGGAGGTTGATATATATTAATAGAAGTTATTCCCAGAGGAAACTTCAACAATAGTCTACAAATTTCAATGATAACCAAGTGCTTAATAATTAAAGAATTACCTCCAAAAACCAGCTGAAGATGTTATATGATTATACATATATTGTTATATTATTGTTATACTACTTCGAAATTCAAAATGAGTGGGCATTCTGACTTCCACCAGCAAATCTCATCAAGATGACCTAGTAATGATTCTGATCACCAAAGAACAATCTAAACAATGAGCACCTCTTTCACAAAGTACTCATGATCAAATCACCATTCCATTAACATAATGGCTACTACTTATGGAGTACTTATAATGTGTCAGATACCTTGCTCAACACTTTGTCCTACTTATTCCTTAAAAACTCAGAATGTTGATAGTCCATATTTTTCACTGATTCTAACATACATAACTTAGGATAAATCAATGTGATAAAAAAATCACTGATCATAGTTTAATTGCAATATTTATTTTTTCTTAATGGCACATAAAATAATTGAAGGTGTTATAACTTATGGCAATTTAGACTCAATGAAGTATGAATATTTTACAAATAAAGAAACTGAAATTCATAAAGAGGAAAGAAATAAGTTGTCCAAGGAAACTCATATGGTGAAGCTAGACTTAAAACTGATAAAATACTGCCTTCTAACACATTGAAAAGCATATAATTTACCTATACTTAGCCTAGGTTAGGAATTATTATATGTCAAGATATTATACAGATCTTCATGGAGACAAGAATACTGACATGAAGAAAAAGAAAGAAAAGTGAAGGCAAACTCTTGGTGCATGGGATGATGTTCTACCAAAAGAGCCACACTGGCCAGGACTGAATCTTTTTTAGAATATCATTTAAATTTACTTATTGGTTCTACCTCTTTATAATATTTCTTATTCCATTAAAAAAGCATATATATCTATATTCTTAAACCACGTATTATTTAACTTAGATTGTTTTGGGGCTTTAATTGCATTATACTGTATGTAGTCTTCCCAATATACTTTTTAAAAACTAAATATTATACTAACAAGATTCATCCACTTATTACATATAGCTCTAGTTCACTAATTTTTACTAGGGTAAAAGATTGTATTACATGACTATATCAAAGTTTATCCCTTCTACATAGATAGATAGGATTGTTTCCAATTTCTGGTGACATCAGCCATGCTGTTATACACATTCTTGTACATATCCTTTGGTATACATGCACAAGAATGTCAACAGGACATATACCTAGGAGTGGAATTAGAAGGTCGAAGAGTCAACGAAGGTTCAAATTTACAATGTAGTACCAAATTATTTTCCAAAGTGACTGCTGATTTATATTCCCACCATGAAGGAGTGAGAGTGTAAATTAATATAAACCCTAGCAAACACTTGGAATCATCAGATGTTTCCATTTTTGCCAATATGTTAATCTCATTATGGTCTTAAGTTGCTTTGCCCTGATTACTAATAAGGTTGGGCATCCTATAACATGTTTATGGGTCATTAACTAGCTTCATACCATTCCCCTCATATCTAAATGAAGAGACCAAAAAAGTGATATTTAAAAAATAAGCAGATCAAAAGAGGGGTAATTCAAATCATTTACAGCTCTTTGGTGAATTTTTGTACTAATGAGAATTGTGATGTGAGTATATAGAAAAGTAAAAAGCAAAAACACCCTTGATACTTCCTTAGAGCACACAAATAGCCAAAACCAGTTACATCTACAAAGGTGAATAACATTTATTAAGCATCATTATGGGCCAAATAACTTTATATGTTATCATTTAATGTGCACCAAAACCCTATGGGACTTGCTCAAGGTCACAAAGACAATTTTGGGTATAGCAGGATTTGAACTCAAGTCTGTATTTCTGCTATTACCAACTGCCTCTAAACTAAGAATCTGACTTTGATACTTACATCCCAAGACAGTAGATAGGGAGGGAACTAAAGAAGGAGGCATATCTCTTTTCATGACTTATAATAAAATAACATACTTTTCATCTTTCTTCTATGACTTGTACAGTGCCAAAAGAACAGAAAATTCCTTTGGTACCTGAGTGGGTTGGGGGAAGCAAGTCAGAGAAGTGTTTCTAACATAAGATTCCCAAATGACATTTTTCTTTCTTTTTTATATTAATGTTACAATAGTTAGGCCAATGAATAATCTGCTTCCTCTTCATCTTACACTTAGAAAAACAAAAAACCAAAAACTCAGTATATTAAGGCATTATGGATCTTAAGGTAAAATGCATTTTAAAAAAATGAAAAAAATGTTCAATTATGTTTATTTCAATAGAACTCACTGCCAAAAATGCAGATACAACATTGCTTATTCAATAAGAGTAATTATCAGGTAAGATAGTTATTTTGAATAGTGGCATTTAAATAAATGGTGACTAAAGAGAGACTGTTTACCATTCTATTCTAATGAGTTCATACACCAGATATAACCACCTACTTTGTCAAGTAACATCACACACTGTTAGTAAAAATGCCAAATAGTTGACCTGCTCAAAACATTAGAAATTATCAGGAGAAACTGTAGAGATAGCTTAGTTTCTTCATAGTGAACAAAATAATTTCTGATCGGTAAGAAGAACTAATTAAATGATTAAATACATGTTGGTTGGTTTTTTAAAAATATTCCAGAGTCCCACTGTTAAATAGTCTTTATTTAAAAAGTATAATAATAATTATTATTTTTGTATTCCTCACCTGAGGATATATTTTTATTGATTTTAGAGAGAGTGGAAGGAAGAGCGAGCGAGAGAGAGAAACACTGATGTGAGAAACATCAATAGGTTGCCTCCCATATGCACCCTGACAGGATCAAACCCAAAACCTAGATATATGCCCCAACTGGGAATCAAACCTGCAAACTTTCTACGTATAGGATGATGCTCCAACCAACTGAGCCACACTGGCCAGGGCTAGATGAAATAATAAATATTGTCCAAGATATCATAACCAGAAAGTGGCAAAATTAAGAATAAACCTTAAGTTAATTTCAATATATCATGTATCCATTAAATTATTGGTCATATCCTTGGTTTGTCAATTAAGACGAGTGCTTAAATATGGGGTAGAGAGCGGTATCCATCATAATAAGACTGCCTCTGTGTCATTCTCTGGTTCTTCATACTTGAAAGTCTTTTCGTGACTGTTATCTCATTGGAATCACCCTGGGATGAATGGGGCACACGTATGATTAGACTTATTTCTTATTTTTTCAGCTGAAGAGACTACCTCATGGAAGTGAGATAATCTGCTCATAGTAACCTAAGAGTAAGCAGCAGAGTCAGGATTCTGTGTGGTGAGGTAGAACATAACTCTGCCAAAACAAGCTGCTCCTCTTGGATTAAAGGAATACTCCAGGTGCACTAATAGAGGTCTGATAATGAGGCCTTGTGTTTGAGTTATCTCCTTGTCTGGATCTGTTTCTTTCTGCTCAAGTGAAATTCATATCCCACTCTCTGAAAACCCCATACTTTGTCTATTTCCTACATTGCAGCCTGAGCCCTCAATATGGACATATGGCCTTATGCTCAGCCAGGACACAGTAATATAATATAACTGTACTATTTGCTTAAATTGAAATACTTATATTGACCTGGGCCCTGAGGCTAAGGCAACTAGATTCATTTCTTATGTAGGCCTCTTGGCTAAGGTGACTAAATGACTCCATTTTTATCATCAATGGACCTTCCTTGACATTTTTCCAATAATAGGTTAATTAACCCTAGAAGTAAAGGAATTTTGCCTAAGGTTATAGTTGCCCCACATGTTGGGAGGTATTTGCAGGTTTTCGAGTATGGGAAACTGCAAATCATGAGCCCAGTGAATAATGCTAATTTTGACTTCTGTAATTGCTGTCATGCCCACTATTGTACCAGTCCTGAGGGGAGGGGGGGGGCTATAAGGGGATGGGGCTCCTGTCTTTAAAATCTAACAAGCAAGAAGAATCGGGGCTGCCCTGGCCAGTCTGGCTCCGTGGTTAGAGTGTCGGCCTGCGGTCCAGAGAGACCCAGGTTCAGTTCCCACTAAGGGCGTGTACCTCGGTTGCAGTTTGTCCCCGGCCCTGGTTGGTCGTGCGGGTGGCAGCCACTCGATGTGTCCCTTTCACGTTGATGTTTCTCTCTCTCTCTCTCTCTCTTTCTCTCTCTCTCTCTTCCTCTTTCTCCTCTCCCTCCCTCCCACTCTATCTGAACAAAAAATGAAAAAATGTCCTTGGATGAGGATAAAAAAAAAAAAGAAAAAGAAAAAGAAAAAGAAAAAAGAAAATCGAGGCTGAGGATCTGGGGAAGCTGTATCCCCCCAGCCTGCCTGTGTAATGAAGTTCTACTTTACAATTCGAATGTGCGTCTCTGGTTATCTCGTTGACACATTACAACATTATACCAGATGGTAAATAGTGGCTGCCTAGAGCCCCACTGAATGTTTCATGATCCAACAACCAACAGGTTAATGCCTGGCACAGCAGAGGACTTCCAGGTCTTGCTTCTGCCTATTCTGATTGATTGATAACTATGCTATACTAGTTTCTCAAGATTTTGAGTATCACCTCCACCTATAGCAACATCTTTTTTTTTTTTTTTGGTATGTGCCCCTAGTGGGAACCAAACCCAGGACTCTCTGGTCCGCAAGCAGATGCTCCAACTGCTGAGCTAAACCAGCCAGGGCAGATTTCCTTCTTTTTTTTATAGCTAAGTATCATTCCATTGTATAAATGTACCACCACTTTTTTATCCACTCGTGTATTAATGAGCACTTGAGCTGCTTCCATATCTTGGCTATTGTAAATAACACTGCAATGAACGTA